CAAGACAAATGTTAGCATCAATGTCATGCAAATCAATCACATACACATTTTTAAGTCTCTTGCCAACAAACAACACTTGATCATTTCTAGAATCAGTAATCTTGCAATGAGACTTGAAAAATACAACATTAAGCATGTGATCACATAATTGACTAATACTAAGCAAGTTATGCTTCAATCCATCCACATACCAACATCATCAAAAGAAATAGATTTGTTACCAATTTTACCAATTCCTTTCACAATTGCTTTCCCATTGTCACCAAAGGTCACGGTTCCACCATCCAAGGGCATGAGTGATGAGAATTGTGAAGGATCACCCGTCATGTGCCTTGAGCATCCACTAGCTAGATACCATTTGTTCTTCATTTTGCTCACAAGGCACACCTACACAACAAAAATCAATTTTTGATCTTAGGTACCCAAATTTGTTTGGGTCCTTAGGGGGTTAGTTCTTACGGTTCCTTTTGGAACCCAAATTTGTTTCACTTTATCTTGAGCTATTAATCTTTTTAAAGGGCAAGCATAAGCAAAGTGTCCATTTGCACCACAACAATAGCAAGTGACTTTAGGATGAAAGGATTGACTTGCTCTTACAAAGGAAGTCGTAAAAGTCTTTTGCTTTTTAGAATAATCAAATCCAATGCCCCCTTTGTCATAAACACTTCTTTGAGATTTTAAGATAGAATCAAATTTTCCTTTACTCAAAGTAAATTTGGAAATCAAATTCTCAAAATCATAAGTTTTTCTCTTTAAATCCTCATTTTTCTTCTTTGAATCCTCATTTTCCTTCCTTAAATTCTCATTTTCCTTCTTTAAATTTTCATTTTCCTTTTCCAAAGCATCATTAACTTCCTCATTCTCTAAAGAAGCAATCTCACCATTTAAAGAAGCATTTTCTTTAACTAAAACTTCATTTTGTTTTGAAAGAGGTTCAATCTCATTTTTAAATGAAATAGTTTTAGTAAGAGTAAGATTCTCATTCCCTAGTCTCTTAATATCATTCATAGAGCAATCAAGAACTTTGCATAAATCATCATAGGAATACTCAAAGGAACTTTCATTAATTGAACTAGAAAAGTTAGAGTTTACCTCCTCATCATTGTTGCTATCCTCTTGAGCCATGAAGCAAAGATTTGCAACACCTTTCTCCAAGGAGCTTTCACTTTCCGTTGAGCTAGTCTCATCATCGCTCCAAGTGGCAGCAAATGCTTTCTTCTTCATGCTCTTCTTGTCTTTCTTCTCATCTTTCTTCAATTTGGGGCATTCATTTCTATAGTGCCCCATCTTGTTGCACTCGTAACATTTCACACTCTTTTTGGTAGATTCTCCTTCATCTCTTCTTGCAAGCTTGCTCTTGACGTTCTTCTTCATAAATCTCCTCACTTCTCTAGAGATTAAGGAGGAGAAGTTTTCACCGTCACTAGCATCATCTTCACTCTTTTCCTTTTGGTTGCTAACCTTGAATGCAACATCCTTCTTCTTCTTCTCAACTATTTCAACTCCACCATCACCTTGAACTTCTATCTCATATGTCATCAATTTACCAATGAGATCTTCAAGCTTGAAAGTGTTGAGATCCTTAGATTCTTCAATTGTCATCTTCTTGGCTTCGCAACTCTTAGGCAAGCTTCTAAGAACCTTTCTCACCACTTCTTGAGGAGGATAGACTTTACCAAGAGCCTTGAGATTGGTGACTATATCATTCAATCTTGTATACATATCTTGAATGGTTTCCTCCGGTTTCATCTTGAAAAGCTCATACATGTAAATGAGTCTATTGATTTTTGAGTCCTTTACTTGGCTTGTTCCTTCATGTGTGACTTCTAGCATGTCCCACATCTCCTTAGCCGTATCACACCCGGAGACTCTATGATATTCCGTTGGATTGAGAGCACATTGAAGCATACTTATTGCTTTGTTGTTGATCATGATCTTCTCCAAGTCTTCATCATTCCACTCAATCTCTTCCTTTGGCACCTCTCTTTTTCCAACAATTTTCATAGGTACATATGGACCTTTCATAGTCACAACCCATGCCTTGGGTACATTTGCAAGCATGAAGACCTTCATCCTATTCTTTCAATAATTATAATTAGTACCATCAAACAAAGGAGGCTTAGTGGTAGACAAACCTTCAAGTGGTTGGGAAGATAAAAATTGTGCCATTCCCGATCAAATCCTAGGTGGTTAAACCTTCAAATTGGAGCCCTTACTCTGATACCAATTGTTGACTCAATGTACTCCAAGAGAGGGGATGAATTGGAGTTCCAAGAATTCTCCCCTTTTTCAACCACAAAAACAAAGTTAAAGAGAGTAGAGAAAAAGAGCTTGCACAATGAATTTATAAAGGTTCAGTCCAACCACTTGGAGCCTAGTCCTCTACCTTGGCTTCACTCACCAAGGATTTCCTCCACACTCTTCACTAAGAAAGACAAGGGTGGCTTAAAGG